ACTATTCTTCATAGTGGTAGATTCATATTTTGTACTAGCAAATCCATTATTAACTGAAGATTTCTATATTTTCTACAGTTATCAAAATATTCAGTCCTATTATCATCATATGTTTTTTTGTAATCATGGAAAGTTGTATATTCTTTACAATTTTTGCATTTCCACATCCATTCTAATATGCTCGGAATTGATGTTGATGTTGATTCTATTTTGGATTTTGTTTTGGATTTCTTGATTTATTTCTTCAATGATTTTTCGTACTTGTAGTTCTATTCGATATTGTGTTGAATTGTATCCTTTATTTTCTGCTCGTTGTCTACAACTTTTACAAGTTTTGAATGCCTTCCCTATAGAAGTGTATCCAAATTCTTCTTGTTTTTGTATTCGTTTGCACCTTGAACAGCATTGGCTTTTTGGTAAATTTTGAATTCTTTTCAGTTTTTTTTTAGGATTCCTTTTAGAATATGATTTTTGCTCTTTTCTTTTCAGTCTACAATTATTGCAGGTTTTATATACTTTTCCTGATGATTTTTTAAATAATTCTGGATATTTTAATATAGTTTTACAACTTGTACAATATTGGCTTGTTGATATTTCTTGGTTTATTTGTAGTGTACTTTATTATTTCCTTGAACATATGAGAATTTGTGCCAGATCTTTATTTCTGCTTTGTCATTTAAATAATCAAAGTTGTCAAAGAATATTAGAATATAGTAGTCTTTTTCTATTATAGTTGCTGTAGAGTTTTCTGATTCTTTGGATTTTGTAATATTTGTTAATTTCTTGTTTCTAATAAATGTTCCTTGATAAACAAGAATTTGTTGTGGTCCTTTTGTTGTAAGGTTTAATACAAAGTGTTCAATATCTGTGATTTCTTCTCTTAGTAAGGAGTAAGGATAGATTTCCTTATCATATGATATAAATATTTTTTCTCTCGTTAATTCTAATGTTTTTTCAAAGTATCCAAATGGTGTAGCAATAATGCATACTATTACTTTTTTGTGTTAAAATATTGATTCTTTAAATAATCATATCTTTACAGTTATCTGTGATTTAATTATAGATATTACTTTAGTTTCTGGTTTAATATATATAGATTTAAATAATTTTTCTATGTGCTACTCTAAATGCTTTAGTGGTGGATATTGTTTAAAGCTTTTTATGTAATAATATATATTTACTGGTTCTCTAGAATATACTCTAGTAGTTTCTTCATCAATTTCTGTTAATGATGTCGTAGTATTAGTATTTATCTGTAGGTTTGAAGTTAGTTTTGGTATTAGTATTTGTTCTGCTTTTTCTTTCTTCAAAAAGTTCATTATCTGATATTCTACTTGTTGTATCAATTTCTTTAGTTTACTATGATATTGTTCTAAATATATTTGTTAAACTATTTTTGTTTCTTCTTTTTGATAGTTTTCTGTTTGATTAAGATATCGATAAAGATTTATATGATAGTGTAATAATTCATCTATTTTAGATTCTTGTTGTATTAATAGTATCTAAATTGTCCTGTAAGTAACTGTTCAACAGTTGGTTCAGGGTTTTCGTATCCACAATAGTTGAATAAGCTTTCTGGTATAGTTTCTTTAATTAACGATTTTATCGAATCCAAATATTTTGTTTGATAATATTTCCTTTCACTTATAGTATCTTCTACTTTGTTTCCTTTTAATTCTAAATAGTAATAATGAATAAGGTTATTTAGAGCAATCCAATTCTTGTATTTCTTATTCTTATAGGCGTTTTTAATTGTCAATGGTTGTTTTTCTACAATTTTAAATTCTTTTTATATCTTTGGTAATTCATATTTTTCTGAAATAATGTTTAAATATTTGAATTCTAGTTTTAGTTCGTTAAGTATTAAAACGTATTTGTAGTGAGGTCCTTCAGAATATTAAAGTCTTTCTTTTAAAGGTAATCATTTCTTCAAATAGATATATTTTTCTGTCAAATATTCTATTATATCATTGTAATTATTTTGGTTGCTTAGTTTCATTAATTCTTTAAGGTTCGTGTTTTAATAATTCTTCAAAGGCTTCAATTTATGCTAAGTAGTTTTTGTTAATTTTTTCTTCTTGTAATTTTGCGAATTCTTCTATTTGTTCTTGCCAGAATAATGAACTAATATTCCTTGTTTCAAAAATTTTTTGGTTTTCTTGTTTTTTTTTCTTCAAATTCTCGTAATATGTTGTTATATTTTTCAAGAATCTTTTAATATAGAGAGATTATAGTTTTTTGATTTGGGTTATATCCTAATCTTTTAGCTTTCTTTTGTAATTCTCGAATTTTTAACCAATTAACAGTATTATTTGTATAACTTCTTTCTTTTCAAATTTCTCATAATGAAAGATATAAGATCTTTAATTTGTATTCTTCTTTTATTTCAATTATAACTCTTTCTTGTAAGGTTAGCATTAAATGCTTTTTCTTCTTTGCTTCAAAGATATTTTTTTATTTTCTGATATTTCTTCAAGATATTTAAGTTCTTATTCTTTATCTAAAACTATTGAAGCTCCTTCTTTGTATAGTACGTCTTCTGCTATAAATATAATATTATACAATACTGATTTTAAGGGTATTGGAATATCGTGGCTTAAATTGATATCACATATTTGTTTAAATTGTTTCGCTATTACTGTTAAAGTTATTTTGTATCTTTGTGTTTCTATAGTAGTTCTGGGTTAGTAGGAATTAAATACTGTAAGTGAGCTAATTGCAAAGTTTTTAATATAGTTCCTAATCTTAAGTTATTTGTAGGGTTACACCTTGCTATTAGATTTGCAAGTATAACTACAAAATCTGAATGAATTTCTTCTACTGGTCTTTGGAATATTATTTCTTTGTGTGGATCTATTTTTTTAAGATAAGTATTCCTTGATTCTGGATAATAGTTCCAAAAGTATTTAAATAGTCAAAATTGAGGGTTTTCTGATACTGATCTATTTATTTGTTCAGGGTATATATTCCAGATTCTTGAGTTTTCACTTGATATATCTGATTTGTTAGCATAATATTCTTCTGATAAGGTTTCAGCTGTAGGTTTCTTCTGGTAGTAAATAGTTATTTTATATATAATATAATAATTTTCTTCCAAATATGATAATTTTTGGTTATTAGCCCTATTTTTTGAGGTCATACTAAGTCTCTTAGTTTTCTTGTCAGGGTACTATTTCTTCTGAAATTTTGTTTAATCCTTCAGTTTCTAGTAGTAAATTATTAATTCCTAATTCAAATGGTAGCATATGATCTATTGTGAGGTCTAAATTTTGAAATAAAGCTTGTATCTTTGCTTTTAAAGATGTTCTTTGAATTGCTCGTAGGTTTAAAAATATTGATTCGAATATATATAAGAATTCAATATTCCTTCGAATGTTCTTAAGTGCTTCAACTGTTGTATTTCTTCTTGAAGTAATTATGTTTTCAATTGCGGGATATTCTTCTAGTTGATTATTAATTACTCTTGGTGGATATATTGTTCGTAAAGTTTCTATTTCAGTAAATGTAACTTTTCTAGCAGTTACTGCTTCTTGAATTTTAATCAATTGTTGGCTAAGTTTTTCAATAAATTGAGTGAGGGTTGTATCCTTTAATTTTTCTTTGTTAATGTTATTATTTCCTTTAATCATATTACAGTATTTGTGACTATTGATACAGTTACTACTATTGCTATTGATATAATCATAAGTTGAATTATTTGATTAAGTTGTTTAAATGGTTGTTCGGATGTTGCTAATGTAATATAAATATTGCTCATCCAAGTAATTGTTATATTAAATACTGATATTGTTCGATCAGTAGTTACGATCTTAATAATTTCTTTCTTGTATGTGTCCATGATTGCTTGTTTCTTTATTTTTCTTATTTGGTTCCCTTTTGAATTGTGTTTTTTTGAACAACATAGACAGGTGGTTTCTTGATATTTTAAACAATATACTTTCTTTAGTTGACAATTTGTACAAGCTATAGTTGCTTTTCTAATATTTTTTATTCGTATATTATTAGGTTGTAAGGTATGGAATTGTTTGTTTTGTTTCTTGAAAATTTTGTCTGTGTTTATATAACTTTCTTTCATATATATTTTATACTATATTATTCTAAACTATATTTAATCTGATCCTTCAGAATTTCTTCGTGAAAATTCTTGAAATCTATAAAGATCTTCATCATGAGGTAGTAGAGTATCTAATTCTGTTTCGGTTAGTGCATATTGATTTAGTGTTTGGGCCTTTTTTAGAGCTTCTACAAATTTAGGGTAGTCAAATTGAAGATTATGGAATGCTTGATATCATGAAGTAGTTGCTTGTCTTTTTCATAAATCATAGTGATTGTAATTTAATATTTGTTCTACTAGTTGGTTTTCTTCAAGTGCTTCTATTTTTCTTTTTAAGTTTTGAACTTGTTGTTTCAGTTCTCTATTTTCTTCCTTTAATGCGGCTATATCTAATAAGTTTCTTTCACTTAGGGAAAAGAATAGTCTTTGCATAAGTGCTAACAATTGGTGTAATCATTCTTCAACACTTTTATTGTAGTTTTGTGATCCTTGATTATTTAGAGTATATTTATCCATCATTTCTTCATCTTTATCAGATAATAATTCTTTTTTTTGAGACGTACTGCTTATTTCAGATTTATTACCATATGCAGGATTTAATACAGTGATCAAATCTTTTATTTCATTTTTGTTTCTTTGTTGTAATTGTATTTCTTTGTTATTCTTTGATGATTCAGAGTAATGAGGATAAAATTCTGATTTTTCAAGGTCTAAATGATCTTGACTTGTCTGGAGAGTTTTGGTTATAATGATAGTGTTTTTTTGAGCTGATTAGTGATGTTTTATCTTCTGTAGAGTCTTTTCTTTTTAGTAATTTCCTTGAAATTTCTTTGCATTCTTCACATTGTTCTATAATAGATATATTTGGTAACTGTTCTATTTCTTCTTCAATTATTTCATATATTGTCCACCAACCATTTTAGTTTTTTCTTCATATTTCATTTTCTTAAGTAAGATGTACTTTTCCAAGTTTTTCATTTTGCTTGATTACTTTACAAATTTGGCCTTTTTGTACTATACAATTATAACACCAAATATAACGTTTTTTTACTACATCCATTTTTTGGTTATATTCCCATTTCATCTACATTATTTTGCCATTTTTCTAATTTTACTTTGGCTTCTTCTTTTTGTACGTTTGTTAATCTATCTTGCATTTCTTTAAAGCATTCTGGACATGTTCCTCCTAATAGGTTCTTAGGTGAATAAGTATAATAGCATTCTGAACATAATTGAGTTAATCCTCGTTTTTCTGTTATCATCATAGCATTAGTTTTAGTTGTGTCTATAGGATAATTCTTTTTCTTTTGTCCTTCTTGTTGAAATGAAGCTTCAAGAGCTTGACTTAGAGATGTCTCCATTACTTCATATGTACTTTCATCTTCTGAGTAAAGAGTTTTTTCTCTATAGTATTTTTCTATAGCATCATAATTTTGGTAATTGTACCTATCGGTAATGGAGTTAAATTTCATTTGTCTTATTATTTCTTGATTTTCAGGAGTAGTCCATTCTTTTTGAGGGTAGTTTTTGAAAAATTTGTAAAGTCTTAGTATTTATGATTCATTCATTGCTTTGTTATTATATACAGTTTTAGTATATTCTTGAATTCTCTTTGTTATTACTGTTTTTGTAGAGTATCTATGACAATAAAATATTTCAAATGCTACTTTTCTTCTTTGTTGCAAAAGTAATTGTTAGTATAATCATTTGTCATATGTCTTTTCTAATTTTTTTCGAGCAAATAGTGCATTTCTTAAAGTTGGTTTTTCTTAATTTAGTTTCTTTATATTGTACTGTTCATATGTCATCTATTGACAGGTGTTCCATATATTCTTGGTAACATCTTTTGCAAACAATATGATTTTTAAGTTGTTGCATATGGTAGTCTAATAAATTAATGTATATTCTTTCTGATAACAAAAATATATCCTTAGTAATAATGCTATAGCAATCTTCATTGCAACAGTGATAGATATTTTTCACAGTCTTTTTAACTTTTTCTTTGCTGCAACTGCATTTTAAAGTTTCATTTTCTTTGAGAAATTTAGTCATTAATTTATTTAAATTGATAAATTCTCCTTGTTCATTATATACTATTTCTTCTAAAGTTTCTTTTGGGGTTTCTTATCGTATTTCTGGTTGGATATCCTTTGAGCTTCCTTCTTTTGGGTCATAAATTTCTTTAATTATAGTTTGTTTCTTTTGGAGTTTTTTATTTTCTTCATTTATAGTTTTTAAGTTTCGATTGACTAGAATCATATTGTTAGTACAGTCTCGTGCTTGATGTCCTGACTGTTTGCATTTCTAACATTCATTTTGAGAACACTTTCTGTTGACGTGGCCTTGTCAGTTACAAATTCCACAAATGAAACGGGATTTATTTTTCTCATATTCTTTTTCATCAAAAAAGTTTCCTTTAAAAATTGATTTTAGTCTTCTCAATTGACTTAATGGAAATCTCTTTTGACAATTATGATTCCTATTGGTTAAAGCTTCACATTTTTGGCATTGATTTCATTTTTCAAAATGAACTTTCTTTTCTGATTTTTGGAATTTAGGACACTCATGGTCTTTTTTGACTAAAATTTCACATTCAAGGCAGAATAATTAAGGGTCTTGTTCCTGTTCTTAATCCTTAATTCCTTTAACGACTGATGCAAAGTTTTTTTTCCTTTTTCTTTATTGTTTCTTTGAGATTGTTGTTCAATGTTAGGGATTTTCTTAATAACAAATTTTTGATTTTCTTGCCTTTGCTATTCATTGATTTTTTGATTTTTCATTAATTTCCATTCTTCAAATTCAATCAATTTGGTTTGGTCAGAATATCTTTCTTTCAAATGTTCCAGCCATTTGTTTTGGGGTTCAGTCAGTTGGCAAATTTCGCAAGTCTTAGATTCTATTTCAGTATTTTAGGGTTTCTTGTTGGATATTGTTTTTAGGGTTTCTTAAGATTTATCCATTATGTTTTGAATGTCCTTTTGATTGTTTGAATGAAGTTTCTTTTATAGAAGTTTCTTATCTTGGATTATCATTGATCAACAATAAATTTTTATTCTGCATCGTCACTGTTACTTGTATGATCTAGTGATTGTAAATTATTTATATAATCTGTATCATGTAAATATTCTAGGAGCACATCCCAGATGTTTTTGTCTTTATTCTGTCTTCTCCAAATTAACTCATTTAGGCATGGTTGTAAATTTTTCTTATCTCTATTTCTTGGTGATATGGTGTCTTTGAACAAGTGCCAGTGTGCTTCTATGCCATTTGTATGCATGATTTTAACAATTCTATTTCAAGATCATAATCCGTTTCAGTCATTCCTTTACTATGGTTAATAGCATAATATTCCATTCCAAGTTTTCTATAAATGTTCTGATATCCTTTCCACATATCTGAATATATGATCGATTCTGGATGTATATGCTTCCAAATATAGTATATCAAGGTATTTTGTGTTCTATCATTTACAATTGTTGCAAATAATTTCTTTTCTGGAGTTCTTTCTACTCCTCCAAATACCCATACGGCTGTTCCGTCCATCTTTTTGTAGAATCATGACTCATCTATTTCTTCAATGATTCCAGGTTCTCTGATCTTGTCATCTGTTTTCAAAATATGACAATTAATAGATTGTCTTATTATCTGAATTCATCGTGTGATCGTTGTCTTTGCTAATTCCATGAATGAATATATTGTTTTGTGTTTTGCTTTGATAAGCTATAAATAGGCAATTTTCAGTACTTCATTGCTTCCAAGTTTCGAATTCATGAAAATTATTCTATTCATTAAGGATATTTTCTTTTGGCATTTCCGTCTAGTATATCAGAATTTCTTATTTGAGTATAACTTCATCAGTTTTAAGCACTGTAAACAGTTAATTTCTTTAGGAAGTATCAATTTTTCTTGTAAGAGTTCTATACATAATTCTTTATTCTGAAAGTATCATTCTAATTCTTGATACGTTGGTACTTTCATCCTTAATTTTTTCAGTTTTGTTTCTTTCTTGAGATTTGTTAGTATAAGTCTTTTTAGGAGGTCTTTTTATATATTCTTCTTATCTTTTACTTCTATTTTCAATGTGACTGTTTGTGTTCTGTCCTTATCAATTCCCATATGTCTTGATAAGTAATTGGCTACACTATTATCCTTTCCTTTAATTCGTTCAACAGTCCAATTGAAGTCTTGTAACTTAATTAACCATTTTTGCATAGTATTGTTTTTACCTATTTTTTCTGAGGCATCTGATATTCCTGTGTTATCAGTTCGTACTATTATTGGTTTATTTCCAATGTAATATTGCCAATTTGTTAAATAATAATATATTGCAAATAATTCTTTCTGAGTTGATCCCCATAATCTTTGTGTCAGCAATATGAATTTTGATCCAAATTCTATAATTTCTTCTTCAGATTTTGTAGGTTCAGTTTCTTTACCTTTTCCTCTAGCATCTTTAGTTTTGTAATGTGCTAGTTCTGGATTTATTTGTTTTAATATTGCTCCAATCCATTATCTGAAGCGTCAGTTTCTAATATAAGTTAGTATCTTTTCTTTAGATATGTTAAGGCTATTGCATTCTTTACTTTTTCTTTTAATGTTTCAAATGCATTTTGACAGTCTTTATTCCAGTCAAATTTTGTATTTTTCTGCAATAATTTATAAATAGGTTCTGCTATTTGTGCAAAATTCTTAATGTATCTTCTGAAGTAGTTCATAAATCCTATAAATGATCATACTCCATGGACATCTGTTGGTACTTTTAACTTGTCACATTCTTTAATTTTGACTTGGTTTGGGTGTATCTTTCCAAATTCCACTAAATAGTTCAGAATTAGAGTTTGTTTTACCCAAAATTCACATTTATCTAGTTTCAGGCTCATGCCCACTTTTTCTATACGTTCAAATACCATTTGAAGATGTTTAAAATGTTCTTCTTCTGAATTACTTGCTATTGTCATATCATCCATATATACGTATACAAAAGGTAAGTTTCTAAATATTTCATATATGTATCTCATCATGTATGCTGGTGCCATTTTTAGTCACATAGGTAACACATTCTATTCGAATTTACCTTTTCCTGGAAAGAATACTGTTGTAAGGTGTTTATCTACTTCTCTAAGCTTAAATTGATGATAAGCTGCTGTAAAATCTAGTATAGAGAATATTTTATGTTTTGCTAAATTTTGTAACATTGTATTTATATGTGGTATTTCATAAGAATCATCTTCTAAATATTGATTAAGTTTTATGTAGTCTACCGCTACTCTATATGATCCATCTTTTTTTTGAATAATAACTAGTAGTGATACCCATACTGCTTTCGATGGTTTAATAAAATCTTGTTTTTGTAGGTCTTCAAATAATTTATTTGCTTGTTCTATGTTATCTTCTGAGTATTGTCGTGGTATTTGTGCCTTATCCTGAAATGGTATTTCTTTTTCATCACATTTTAATATCAAAGTTATTGGTTCAAAGAACTTCTCATTAAATGTAGTTGCTTTTTCATTTTTTCTTCAAAATATATTAATAAATTTCTTGAATAATGGTGCCATTTAAGTTCTATATTCTTGTGTAGTATTTTTTATTAATACTTCATATTGTTCTTTCTCAGTTTTTTCTTTTTCTTCAGGTTTCATTTCCCATCATTTATCTTTTTCTTTTGGTATTTCTGCATCATGTATCTCTATTATTTTGGTTACTTTTTCAAGGTTACCAATATGATATTTTTCTGGTATTAATATAGGTTTATCTACATAGTTAATTATTCTTATTTTGTTATCATTAATTATTCTGTTTTGGGCTAAATGGATTGGCGTCTGTATTAAATAATTTCCCTTTTGAGATATATTAATTGCAGTCTATGTATATGGTCTGAGCATATATTCTTGATTAGTATAATATAGTATTCCTGTTCCTAATGTTGGTATGATATATTTTTATATTTCATTCAGTATATAAGCTAGTTCATGATGTATTACCATCTTACTGTTTCTTGCTAATTGTGGTTGGTATTGTGATAATTCGATATTGAATATTTCTTTTTCAATATATAATGATTTATCAGTATTTGTACTTTTATTACTTTTTGTATCCATTTCATCATTATCATTACTATAATATTCCTCTTGAAATTGTAATTGTTCTTCTTTAACAATAGTTTGAGGTGTAGATACTTGTTTTGATGATGTTTCTTGATTATGTCTCTTATCAAATGAATCTTGGCTTTTTCTATAGAATTCATTATTTTGTTCTTCTTCATGGATATTTGTTATTGCTTGATCTTTTACTACATTATGTCTTAAATCTGGTTCTTGTCATTTCTTAAATATATTTCTTTGCCATCAGTTTGGCAATTTTGGTGGTTGTTGGACCGTTTCTTGAGATTTTGGTAGTGATTGAATTGTTTCTGGATTAATGAATATTACTTGTGGTCTTTCTTAACCTGGTGAATAATATTCTACTTGTCCCA